CTGGGGGAGGAGGGAGGGCGTCACTTACATTACATTTTAGTTAATGGATTAATAGCTAAAGCTACTCCTATTTTGTTAATTAAGTGTTGTGTAGTTAATCTCAATAAGACACGTAAAATAATGTAAAGATGTAATATCGAAACAATGAATGAATGGAGATATAAGGTTGATACCATTAGAGAGAGAGAGAGAGAGAGAGAGAGAGAGAGAGAGAGAGAGAGAGAGAGAGAGAGAGAGAATATAAGACAATATAAACTCCGGTTAAATAACAGGGAACAAACCCTCATCTTATTTTCAAACATATGTAGCAACAGGAAAAACCGACGTCTGCGAAGAGCAGATAGAAGAAGGTGAAGGGGAAGGGAGGGTGAAGGGAGGGAGATGAGGAGTGGGAAAAGGAGAGCTCAGAGATGTATGAGAGGAAGTAGAAACGGAGAAGCGGGAAGAGTTGGAGATGAAGGGGGAGAGAAGTGAAGCAAGAGAGGTAAGGGTGAAGAGGGAGAAGGGAAGTGAAGCGAGAAGGGTAAGGGTGAGGGGAGAGAGGAGGAGGAGGAGGACCGGAAGGGGTAACAATGAGAAGAGCAGAGGAGGGGAAGAAGTGAGGTGGAAGAGTGAGGGGAAGAAAGGGGGTAGCGAAAAGGGGAAGAGGTGAGGGGAGGGAAGCAAAAGGAGGAGCTGAGGTGATCCTTCATCTGTGAGATCCCCTCGGGCTCCTCATCGACCTGACTGCCCCTCTGTCCTCTTCCCACCAGCATACATGTCGCGCCAGGGGGAGGGGGGTATTCTTCTAAGGGAGGGGAAGGGGGCGGATAGAGAGAGAGAGAGAGAGAGAGAGAGAGAGAGAGAGAGAGAGAGAGAGAGAGAGAGAGAGAGAGAGAGAGAGAGAGAGAGAGAGAGAGAGAGAGAGAGAGAGAGAGAGAGAGAGAGAGAGAGAGAGAGAGAGAGAGAGAGAAAGAGAGAGAGAGAGAGAGAGAGATAGAGAGAGAGAGAGAGAGAGAGAGAGAGAGAGAGAGAGAGAGAGAGAGAGAGAGAGAGAGAGATTTTGATTTGATCTGAGTTTACTGAGACAAAAGCTTACGTCTCAAAGGCACTGAGAGAGAGGGAGACAGAAAGACAGACAGAGAGAGAAAAGGAGGATAAAGAAGAGGATGGACAGGCAAAGCTTTGTGTCAGAGGGCATGTAGAAGGCGGATCAGTCATCTCAGGCGAATGGTGAAACGAACAGCTGTCGGCGGGCCCCTGTAATGCCCTTTTCTGGGTTCGCTCGCAATCCCCTCGGTGGGGTTTGCGGGGTTTTTGCTCAAGTCTTCAGGTATATTCTGCATATCTGCTTTTACAGACATCACTCTCCGCCCACACATCCATACATACAATAATGTATGTATGTACATATGCACGAATATATATATATATATATATATATATATATATATATATATATATATATATATATATATATATATATATATATATATAATTGAGTGTGGATGTGCGTATCCAGCCGACAGCAAAAAACATTCTTTCTTCCCTAGCAGGGCTGCACCATTGCAACAATTACTCTCCCGGCAAGAGTATCCAATATCGCCATTACATCCCGAACAAGAGCATTGCCTTCCTTTCTTTATCAGCCGTAACGATAACAGCAACAGCAATAATAGCAGCAATAACAAATACCGTGGGCAGGACGGGGGCAACACACGAACGAACGCACGAACACCCGGCCCCTTTGAGTCGGGGGCGGCCGGGCGGGAGGAGGGGGGGGGAGACAACTCGAAAGATCATGAAAGTCCAATTGTTCAAATACGACAGTTAATTAGCGCAAAGTTGGCGCTCCGAACGAAGAGTCAACATGCGCCGGGAGAGACTGGAGGCTTTCCGGGAAGTGGGCGAGAGTTCTAGAAGCTTTGCCTCCGCCGACGCTCCTCGAATAATAATGGATTCATCTCCGGGAGGTGGAGGTGAGGGGGGAAGAAGAAGAAGTAGAGGAGGAAGAAGAGGAGGAGGAGGGGGAGGAAGAGGAGGAGGAGGAGGAGGAGGAGGAGGAGGAAAAGGAGGAGGAGGAGGAGCAGCAGCAGGAGGAGGAGGAGGAGCAGCAGCAGGAGGAGGAGGAGGAGGAAAAGGAGGAGGAGGAGGAGGAGGTGGTGGAGGAGAAGGAGGAGGAGGAGGAGGAGGAGTAGGAGGTGGTGGAGGAGAAGGAAAAAGAGTACAAGGAGAAGGAGGAGGAGGAGGAGGAGGAGGTGGTGGAGGAGAAGGAAAAAGAGGACAAGGAGAAGGAGGAGGAGGAGGAGGTGGGAGGAAATGGGTGGTTGGAGTGGAGGGGAGGATGGAGGAGGTGACAGGGAGAGGAAAACGGTTGAGGGGGGGTGGGGTGGAGGTGATGTTGGTGGAGGTAGCTGAGGGTGGAAATGGAAGGGGTGGCCAAAGAGTGGGGGGGGAGGAGGTAAAGGAGGTGAACCTGAGGGTGGAAGTGGGGAGGGTGTGGAAGAAGAAAGAGAAGAAGAAGAAGAAGAGGTGGAGGAGCAGGACGAGGATGAGAAGGAAGATGAAAAGAAGGAAAAGGAAGAGGCGGAAGAGGAGGAGAGGAGAAGGAGGAGGAGGTAAAGCAGGATATGGAGAGGAGAGTGGATAAGAAGTTAGTAGGAGGAAATAGAAAAGAAAAAACGGGAAGAAAGCCAAAGAGAAAGAAAACGAAGTTAGAGAGGAAGAAAGGAAGAAAAAAAAGAAGAAAACACGCGAAATGCATCAGAGTAAAGGAAATAGACACAAGAGAATTGAAATCAAGACAGAGCGAAACAGAAATTGGGAGAAGAAGGAGGCAGATAATGGCAAGAATAAAACAGGAGGGATACTTAGATGCAATTAATACTAAATGACGATAGCGGAGGAGGAGGAGCATGCTGATAAGGCTTGCGTAATCCCAAGGGAATCCCAGGAAATAACCTTTGTGTACACGAGAACAGGATAACAAGATAACAAGGGAACAGAAGAACAAAGAACGAGAACTTCGTTACTGCATTACCGAACTTCTTTGTGCGTTACCATTTCTCTTGCTGCTGATCTTATTATAATTTTTTTTTGGGGGGGGAGAGAGGGTCGTCGCCAGTATAATAATTACACAAATCGAAACACACTTAAGCGCCCACATACAGAGTATGTACACAAGCATACAGGCACATACATACGCACAAACATACACACGCACACATACATACATACACAAGCGCATACGTAAATATTCCCACATGTCCCCTTTTCAAAAGAAATTAAAAGAGAAAAAACACAAACTGAGTTAAACCGCCCGCAAATTCAGTCCTAACATCCCCTCCCCCTCCCACCTTCGCTTCTTCTCCCATCATTCCCCCCCCCCCCCACACGCGCCTCCACCCATGCCCCTAATTCTCACACCCATATCCCATCACTCCCTCCCAACGCCCTCCCCCCCTTTCCCGGCGCCCTCCCTTCCTCCCTCCTCCCTACGCCCTTCCCTTCCTTCCCTCCCCACACCCCTTCCCCTTCCTCTCCTTCCCCATCACTCTTCCATCCTCCTTCCCCCCCCCCCCCCTCTCTATACATTTGCATGGGAGGCGCTCCAGGCCGGCCCTCCAGCACTGTCTCCTCATGAATTATTCAAGCTCCTCTTGCAAGAACAAATGCCTCTCAAACTGCATCAAGACGGCAGACTTATTGCAGGAGAGTTTTGTATGAGGTGACGGGTGCAGTGTAAAGGGGGGGTAGGGGGGAGGAGGGGAGAGATATGGTGGGAAGGGGTGGGAGAGGTGGAGAGAAGGGGGAGGGGAAGTGGGAAGGGAGACAGGTGAAGGGAAGGGGGAGGGAGAGGGGGAGGGGAAAGTTGCATGAGGTTGAAGTGTTGGTTTCCGTATGATGTGTATGTGGGGATGTATGTGGATATTTATGATTTGATATGTGGATCTTAGATGTGTAAGAGAACTCAGAGAAATCGTATATCAAGAATATACAAACACGCACACACTAAAAAACAACAGCATAAAGTCACACAAAAAATATAAACAAGATCCACTTGATATCAACACAAAAAGAAAAGAAAAAGAAAAACACAAAGTGAAAAACATGTCCAAAATATGCCCAAAATAACATCCACAAAAATAGGAAAAAACAAACAAACAAATAAACAACCACAACAACAACAAAGCCATCCGAATCAACATCTCCACAAATATCATTAGAAAAAAATAAAAAAAAACGAAAAGCAAAGCAAACAAACAAACTCAAAGACAACCACACACAGCCTCACAAAAAGGCCAATACAAACACGCACACGAAGGGGAATTAACGATATCGGTCCTTAATTGACGCCTGATTAATTCCGATTAAGATTAATTTGACGGACCGCGCGCCCGAGGCACTCTGCGGGCAGCGAAGGAGCCGGAAGGGGGGGGGGGTAAGAGGGCTTCTGTGGGGGAAGTGGGTTTGTGTGCCGAGAGACGGAGGGGGTGGAGGGAGGGAGAAAGGGAGGGAGAAAGGGAGGGAGGGAAAGGGGGGAGGGAAAGGGGAGAGGGAGGGAGAAAGGGAAGGAGGGAAAGGGGGGAGCGAGGGAGAAAGGGAGGTAGGGAGAAATGGAAGAAGGGAAAATGAAAGGAAAGGAAGGGACGGAAAGGAGGAAAAAGAGGGAAGAGAGAGAGAGAGAGAGAGAGAGAGAGAGAGAGAGAGAGAGAGAGAGAGAGAGAGAGAGAGAGAGAGAGAGACTCTTTGCCCCCCCCCCCTGAAAAAAAAACAACTTAAAAACAGATAGCACCCCCCACCTCTCCCACCCCAACCGAACCGCACGAAACAAACCCGCCTCAGCGAACTAAGCAGAAAAACCCACCGCCTCTTTCATCCTCAGCCAATGTTTTCCTCGCGGCCGACAACTCAGGCGAGGCAACGAAGCTTCGACTCAATTCACGTTTGCTTCAATAACCTGTTTCGCCTCCGATTTGCCTCGAGATGATGCACCTTTCAGCGGCTCTTTATTCCCATTG